AGAGAGAGAGAGAGAGAGAGAGAGAGAGAGAGAGAGAGAGAGAGAGAGAGATTCTGTGCCCCCAGAGCCCTAGGAAGAAAGAAAAGATGTGTCTTTCCCCAATTTTTCAACACTGTCACAGGTTTCTCCTTTAGGGAGGCTTCTTGAGGCCCCACATGCTGCCCCCCTAAAAGAGGCGAGCCCTTCTCCATGTGAAGGGAGACAAACGAGGACAGGCTTAATGCAGTTCTTTGTGATAGGCTCCTTTTCCCAGAAATCAGAGGTTATAAGAGAAAACACAAATGGAGTCTAAATCTGGTTAGATTTGCAGAACCTCAAGGTTTCGCTGGGTCAGGAACAGTGTAAAAATAGTCTCTCAGGATGAATCCTGGCCAGGGAGATAGAGACAAGCGATGGACAGGGAAAGGCGGTGTGCATTTCACTGTTTCCAACTGTCCTGCTTGGTTTTACTCTTTCTCTCTACAGAGTCGCTCATTCTCCAAGAGCAGTGCAGAGGAGCTCCCTGAAGTGGAGGGACCCTGAAGACTATGGAGCAGGTACTTTTCAAAAGTTCAATCACAAAGGGTATAGTAAAATAGATCCTGGAAGTAGGTAACATGCCCACAAGGCTGGCCAGACTGTGGTGCAGGAACTAACACCTTCCAATTCAATGCACATTCCCTCCGGTGCACAGTGAGGGGCACCGAAGAAGAACAAAGGTCCCCTCACCCTCAGCGTGTTTCCACCTGTCCATGAAGAGCAAACACTATCTTCTTTCTGAAAATCTCCATGATTGGCCCAAAAGAACACGGGTCAGTCTTAGAAAGGATGACCCATTTAAAACTTCTACGCTATAGTTTATGAAAAACCCACTTAATGCTGCCTCGCCTCGACAGAACACTTCTCATAGGGAATGAGAGGCATTCTGTGGTATTGAAGCTCAAGAAGTGCCCAGTACCTTTTCAGACTTTAGAACTAGGGTCAACGTCTTCACTAAGTCAGACACCTCAGCTTCTCTCTCATCTCCATCCCCTCTCCCCTCTCTGAGGAGAAGGAGGAGGAAGAACACTGGGCACCTCATTCTTCCCTGGCATTCTTTCCTTTTGTTAGGATTATGCCTAGCTGGGTAGGAAAGCTCTGAGTGATCCTAACCCTCCACTGATGTGGTCAACATAACCTCCATCCTGGCAGTAAGCAAACGACTACATTCATAGGTCACGATCTAGATCACAAGTAGATCCCACTAATCTCACACACTAGCAACTGTGCATTAGCTCACTAGTGGGTCTACAGTCTCCCCTGTTACTAATAAATCGATGGTCAGTGTGTGTTGTTGATCACAAGGTAAGCACAAGAGAGCCAAACTCCATCTGTCTCTTGCAGGAAGGAAATCTGAAAGCCATGAAAGCACTACCTATCAGCTTTGTAAATATGAAATGCAGAAGTACTTTAATGCTGGGAGACAGGTGACAGGCGGAAAGCCAAGCTATAATGATGTCCAGACTTCAATACCTTAATCATAAATGAGTCTTAAAGAAATCACTGACTTCCTTGGGGCTTTCAGATAATCATTACATAAAATCATCACCTGAATGGCATCAATTCATGTCTGGTCTGTCTTCATTACTAAACAGTGGTGTTCCTGAGCGACGGTGTCATAGCTCCGCATTTCATACACTCACAAGTTGGTCCCAGGCCTGGAATGTAGCGATAAATTGGCATTATATGGATGAATAAATGATATGCAGTGGGGAATCGTTAGGAAAGAACACTGAAAAGGAAGGAATGAACAGAAGGAGGGAAGGAAGAAGGGGAAGGGAAGAGGGTCCTCAGCAGCAGACGCGATGCTCACAGTCAGCAGTCCTGGTGTGCAACTGCCCACAGACGTATGCAGCCTCCTAGACCAAATACGGCATGGACAGGAAGTTGTTGTCTGGCTTCACTCAAGAAGCTGGTGAACTTCATCCAAAGTCAAATTTACCAAGGATCATGGTAGTTTCTGGAGTCTTGGCTCCCTCTTTGAAGCCCCTTTATCTCCTCAAGCATCACCTCTGACATTGTTCATTTGCTCCTGTAGATGCGTCATATTGTACTATGACTATTGCATCACCATTAACCCGGTGGTTCCTAATGTTTACAGGGAAAAGAGAGGACAGTTGACGGGGTTTGTCACAGACATGTCCTGACGGTTCACTAAAAGTAACTTATGGCTCTCCTCAGGAAAATGTACCCATCTTTGGGCCCCATGCAAAAAACTCAGGCACTGATGAAAGTTCAGGAGTTCATAGACCTAGATTGGTTATTAGGGACTACTCATGTCTGCTCAATATCTTCATTACATTTGTTAAGTTTTTATCCCTAATTGGGAAAATGTCCAATTTAGGGGATTTCCAGACACCAATAACCAGATCGAGAGAAAGATAGTTCTCTGTCAGAATCAGACCTCAAAGTATGCCTTTTTGTTTACATTGAAATGTTGTTAGTCTTCTTGAAATAAATCCAGTAACGGTTAATGTGGGGGTCCTCTTCCTATCCTTACTTAGATCGGCAGTGACTCTGCATGAAAACAGACACATGCACAGACACACACAAACACATAGACACACACACACACTGTGGAAGAAGAATGCAGTAATAACATTCTGAGTAATTAACACCCTCTGAAAAGCATAATGAAGCACAGACGTGAGTCAGTAACTAGCTTTCTTTCTCAGTCATCAGTGGAGGGAGGGGCATAACAACATACTAGTGTATGCAATATACTCTCAACGATCCTTGGATTCCTACAGTTGTCTACCTGTGTGTTACTGTTCAATCTAGTTTCCTCCCCTTGGTCATGTCCCTCCAAACTCCAGAGTAGTATTGTGGAATATTCTTCAGAGAAGCCAATAGCTCTCAACCCCTCTTCAGGGTCTGGGGTGATGCTTAATCTTAATCATTAATGATTAGATTAAAAACCACCTAAGGAGCAGATTGGTGGTGGCACACACTTTTAATCCCAGTACTCAGGAGGCAGAGGCAGGCAGATCTCTATGAGTTTCAGGCCATCCTGGTCTACAGAGTGAGTTCCAGGACAGCCAAGGCTACTTAGAGAAAACCCTCTCTTGAAAAATATAAAACAAAACCAAAAAAAAAAAGAGCAACAAGAAAAAGAAAGAAAGAAAGAAAGAAAGAAAGAAAGAAAGAAAGAAGAAAGAAGAAAGAAGAGAGAGAGAAGGGAAGGAAGGAAGGAAGGAAGGAAGGAAGGAAGGAAGGAAGGAAGGAAGGAAG